CCCCACTTTTCAAAACGCTTATATATAACACAGAATGGAGGTATTGAAAAAAACCATTACTCCTAAGGAGAGTCCCCACAAGGATAGCAAACCAGACATATGCTTAATTATCATGAAAATAATGTCAAAATGACATGAGCCACAGTGAATGGCAGTTTCTATCAATGGGAAGCTAAGTGATCCTATAAGATACTATAGTCAAATATCAGCAAGACAAAGTTAGTATTACTGTGAGCGATTTTACTCTTCTATTTGTCTATTGCCACATGCTGGGATATAATAATAATTAAAATAAATAAATAAATGAAAATATAATCCAGACAAAGCCATGCCAGAAACTGTCATCTTTCTGGTCAAGTGCGATTCATCTGATAATAGTTCATCTTATTCATGATATGATGCTTTATGCACTGCTGCAGTTAATATTCATATAAAGCTTTCCCCTCCGGAATGTTAATTTTAGGTAGCAAGAAAATGAATTCCCTTTCAAAAACAGAATGACGTCTTATTTTTACCAGCTTCTATTGACCAGTGTGAACAAGACTCGCTGTCAGGAGATGCTGTCTATGTAGACCCTGTCCTAATTCCTTCCGCTCCTCTTCTTTGAGGCTCCTAAAGCATTTAAACTGACAGCTCATCATACGCTACTGCAGTGGGATTCGGCCAAGAGGAAAATATGAAAACATTAAAAGAGGAAAAAAAACACTGTTTGAAAGAGAAATGTTCCAACAGGTTTGCTCTTTTCTCTGAATAATAACAATCTCTCTCTCTCTCTTCCATATCTTCCAATTATCCAATTAAAGCTTCATTTGAGCATGAGTGTGATGGGATTGAGTTACATCAGTCATTTCCTCTTGAACAATCTGTACAAATGGTGCCTGTGTGTCTATATAAATGATGAAATACATAAACATATAATTAAACACTAAATACTCATGTATTAACAAAAGCATGTGCATGCTTGTTTTAGTTTTTTTTATCTTTTCCAGGCTGAGTTTTGATATACAGTGGGTACGGAAAGTATTCAGACCCCCTTAAATTTTTCACTCTTTGTTATATTGCAGCCATTTGCTAAAATCAGCATAGGGCTGAAATCCACTAAAATGTAATCAGTGATAAAGGTCATTAAACTGCCTTTTGATTCAAATGAATGCGGCATACGATATATATTTTTATACTAGTGCAAACCGTCTCCTTTTGAGTCTCCCCGGATTTCTATTAAAGCAACAAGCCAGTTAAAACTGGGCTGCAGTGATTCTACCAGAGCTGAGGTGAGGGCATAGGGCTGAAATCCACTAAAATGTAATCAGTGATAAAGGTCATTAAACTGCCTTTTGATTCAAATGAATGCGGCATACGATATATATATTTTTATACTAGTGCAAACCGTCTCCTTTTGAGTCTCCCCGGATTTCTATTAAAGCAACAAGCCAGTTAAAACTGGGCTGCAGTGATTTTACCAGAGTTGAGGTGAGGCGAAATATTAATTAATCATAACATGGAATCACAAACTAGTACTTGCACTATTGCTGCACTATATAGTAAGCATACTTTGTAGAGTTTGCAAGCTTTCTGATGGCCTACTACGTTTGCTAAAATGTGGAGTACTGTATACAACAGAGGAAGGTGCATGGAATACTGTATCCCACAATGCAATGTGCTTGATTTGACATTCGATTTCCAGTGTGATGAATGAACTGGAAGAAATATCAGTGATTTTGGACATCTCATTCAATAGTAGGCTATATCTTGAGACATTTTTATACAAAATTGGTTTAAGAATGCAAAAACCTTCAAAACAACAGCTAGACATCAATTTCACTTGCTACTTCCAAAAACATTCGGATTCATCAGACAATCATCTTTAAGCTTCTGAAACATGAAATATTAAATCAAAAAGGACAAATATAACAAGAATATAATGCATTTTGCACTTATTATTCCTTTTTTGACTTAACATTTCTTAATGTGTCTTTCAGAGGTAACTTTTGTCAGTCATGTTAAATTAATGTTGTTATAAAAAAAAACTAAAATGACATACACTACTGTTCAAAAGCTTGAGATCGGTAATATTTTTACAATGTTTTTGAAGATGTTTTGAAAGTTTCTTATGCTCTCTGATGCTGCATTTATTTGAAAATAACAACACAGTAAAAACAGTAATATTGTGAAATATTATTGCAATTTAAACTGTTTTCTATTGTAATATGTTTTAAAATGTAATTCATTCTTGCGATGCAAAGCTGAATTTTCAGCATCGTTACTCCAGTCTTCGGTGTCACATGATCCTCCAGAAATCTTTTTAATATGCTGATGTGCTGCTCAAGAAACATTTCTTATTGTTATCAGTGTTGAAAACAGTTGTGCTGCTTAATATAATTATTATTTGTGGAAACCTGGATTTTCTTTTTCTTTGATGACTAGAAAGTTCAAAAGAACAGCATTTATTTGAAATGGAAAAATGTAACATAATTGTCTTTATTGTCGTAATTTCTTACTGACCCCAAACTTTTGAATTCTAGTGTATAAGAGGAGAACCAGAGAGAATTACGAAAAAAGATATTCAGCCATGATAGTTTAGACATAACAGATCATACCCTAAATGGTTTTTACAGATCTATCCCCCATAGTGGACAAAGCAGTGGTAAAGGTCCTTTCTTCTCTGATCTGAGCACTGACCTTCACACAAGCGGACGCTGACCAGCTAGTTTGAGTTACATGTCTTGATCGACCCGTAATTTAAAACAGTGCATGCAGTCTCCTTCACTCTACCCTCTAAAGAGACAAACTTCTCAAACTTCAGCGCAGCATCCGACGCGTGTTTCTCATGCTCCCTCCAATTTCATCTCGCCCCCTTCCTGCTCGTCAGTTCAGAGGAAAGAAAATGAAAATCAACAGAAAAACAAATCAGTGTTTTGTTCTTTCGGCGACGAGCTGCGTGTACGCAAACCGCGCGCTCCTGCCACGCGGAAAAAAAATTCCAATTTGCAGCAGTGTGTTGTTTCTCCACAGGGCAGGACACCGATGGGGCGCCGCGGAGCGCACGCGTGTGTGTGTGTGTGAACGAGAGGTACAGACTTCTGATATTGTCACTCCAGACTCACTCATCTCTATTGACTATTTCACAGCTGCCTTTCTAGTGGAGAGAGCAGAAAGAGGGGAATCAACAGCCGTTCAAACTCATCACAAGAGAGAGAACGAGAACCGAGGGAAATAAAGACACACACAGAGGGGGGGGAACTTTTGGGCTACTTTTAGATATTCTGCGCAAGCTTTGAACTTGTTTCTCGAGCATGAATTCTTAATGCTGCTAATTTGAACACAAACAAACATGTTTTTACATGACTAATTCATAAAGGGTTTCTCTGGGTATTGTAGTCGTATTTTTTGTTCTAGCAAAGATTTCTCTTTCATTTGCCAGTCACAGGCGTATTCTTGGTTTTGCGGTGAATTTGATTCATTATAGATTACACAAACTATTTATTTTGACGATGAAGAAAACGTTAGTTTACAAGGAAGGAGCTTTCATAAGCCCCCTGAAGTTACTCACTCTATGAAATCTTTTGAAAGCATGTGAAAAAAAGCATATATAAGAGAGACTGGGGCTAGTTGTCACATGGGAAATTCGTCACAAAGATTTACTACTACTGTTCAGAAGGATTTATTTTTAATTTTTTTTGAAAGACATTAAAACTTTTATTCAGCAAGGATGCATTAAGATAATCAAAAATGGCAGTGCAGACATTTAAAATGTTTACAAAAAAAATGTCAAGAATCCTGAAAAAAAATGTATCACCGTTTCCACAAAAATATTAATACTATACGTTTATAATAAGAAATTTTCCTAAGCAGCAAATCAGCATATTAGAATGATTTCTGGAGGATCATGTGACACTGAAGTCTGGAGTAATGATGCTGAAAATTCAGCTTTGCATTACAGGAATAAATTACATTTTAAAATGTATAAAAAATAATGTTATTTGAAACTGTAATAATATTTCACAATATCACTGTTTTACTGTATTTTTGATCAAATAAATGCAGCCCCTGTGAGCATAACAGACTTCTTTCAAAAGTCTTACAAACTCCAAACATTTGAACAGTAGTGTATATAATTGTTGTATTTACTTATTTTATCTTTTCCCATTTTTTATGAATACTTTTGTTTTATAATTGAAAATCTGTAAAATAGATCATATATTTTAAATGATGTTTAAAAGTTCTAATTGTGACAACTTATCCCATATAGCAGTGTGGAATATGCCCCGTTGTTGAAGTATATTGACTTATATACAATAAATCAACCCTGACAAATATTCACTGGAACAAAAATCATATAGCCTGGTCGTTCTACCCTTTATGACTCAGACCAATTTATATTCTTTGCCCTTTTTCTAACTCAAATTCCAATTTTGCACTTTTTAATTCAAAGAGAAATAGATGATAGTTAAATGACAGGGAGAAGAGAGGGAATGGGATCAAGATAGGTTGTGAACTCACATCCCCCCATGAGTGCACCACAGCTCAATGTGTGTTATTCTAACAAGAACAAAATCACACATCCTGTCAGTTCACTGATTTCTTGGAGGAATTTCGGTACAGGACAACACAATGATAGTGATGTCTGCCTTCAGAGAGACCCGAGACACAAACCGGTGCAGAGACCATCATGATCAAAGACACACGTGTTATTCAGCGCTGACAGACAGTGAACGAGAGAACGCAGAAGAGAAAGAATGCGAGATTAAAAGAGGGAAAAGTGAAGATGTAATCAAAGAAAGGTGAATTAAACCGGACAGGTCAACACATAACCAAGGGAAAAGGAACATTTGAGGAGAAAAAAGAATAAAAAGAACTGAAGGAGAAAAGACAAGAAATTCTGAATGAAATGAGCAAAATAAAATTAAAGCAGGACTTTCACAAAATTCATGTGCAAAACTCACTACAGCTGCTGTATAAGGCGAGTGAATGTGAGTGTTGGAGAGTAGACGGGAACTCACTGGTGGTGTTGGTAAGGCGAAAGGTGACAGAGCTGTCTGGAATATCACAAACGTTCCGGACGGACACCTGACAGGTGTAATTAGCAAAGTCCTGTGGACGGAGGTTTTTCAGTTTCAGCACCTTTGTCTCACCCTGCAAACACACACACATTCACATGGTAAAAAATACATCACACAAAAACAGTTTTTCCTGTTAGTCAAAACATGCATTTATACATAATAACAAATTTATGTTTGTCGGTCACCCTCTGCAAACAGTACCATTTACACTTTTAGAATTTTTCTTTTTGTATAATTTGACTGCTGTTGAGTAATTCACATTTAAAATATGAAATCACATTTTCCCACCTGGGGCATCACAGTGTTGAGATGAGACAAGGCCAACACAAGTGCAAACTACGAAATACTACAAAAAAAGGTCATAAAGGTTTCAATATAAAAGTGAAAACAATGTGATGATGTAATTTCTTCAAATAGGATGTCAGAAACAGGAAATGTCAGAGCATAACAGGGTTAAAAATGCATAAAACATTTTAAAATGAATACATATTAAGGATATTTCAATTTCAAGACAAAGCACAATTTAAATACAGTTAAATTAAATTCTATATTACCAATTCAAATATAATTGGTTTGGATTGGAACATTCAATTTGGCTGATATTCCAAAAAAAATAACGCTCCAGAATTTCCTGTGCATTCAACAAACAGGACAGCATTTTGAACTAAACAAGGTTCAATCTATCAAATAATGAGACCAAGTTCTGTATACTGTTAAATATGTCAGTAGTAATTCATGTGAACACAAATGGGGCACAAAAGGTACCGTTTAATTTCCCGAAAATGATCCTTGTATTTCTGTGCAATGTCAGAGGCTTTGTGTGCATGATAAAGAGAGAATGAATTCAGGAATTTTAAATTCCTCTAATTCTTTTGACTGAGTCCATCAGGAAAATGAATAATCCTCATTATTAATGGCAAAGCCATCAATCTCCATCCATCCCACCTTATTCAAACAACTCTTTATTAATAAGTACTCAGATTATGAATTCATCACTGATGGATTGCTGATTTATTGAGTATGTTTCTCTGTGATTGAGCGGGTCTCCTGTGGTTATCTGCTATTCAAATGATTATTAACTGTAATTAAACTATTTTCTGATTTAGGGAAAGTAAGGCCTATAGAGAAAACTTGCATATTGTAAAGCTGTGTGTGGGAGTGGTTGGGTTTTCCTTAGTTTGGGGACAAAATTGTTTGCAAAAGTTAACTTAAACGCACTAAAAGTCGCTTTCGGGACACCCAGAGATGTTCATGAAATGTTCATGAAATGAAATGAAATAGTCTATTATGTCCAATTATAGAGACAGTCAACAGTCAACAACAACAAAAGCTTAATAAACCTACTAAATAATTTCTTACTGAAATTGTAAAAATCCAGAAAGGGTTGTAAGTGTCAGGTGTAGGGTTACGACCGAAACAAAACAAAACTAAACAAAGCAAGTCATGATATTGTTGTACCTGTGTATACAGAGGCTCGTAGATGTCCACGCCGTTGTCTTTGCTCTGTTCGATTGGTTTATTTCCTCGTTTCCAGATAAAGCGAGCGGGAGGGTTGGAGTTTACCGTACAGCGTAAAAACACTGTTTTCTCCTGATAGTAGTTCCCTCGTACATCACCCACCGTCTGGTGCACCGTGAGCACAGGCTTATCCAGATCTGGAGAACAGACAGAGAGAAAGAGAATTCACTTAGATTGGGAAAAAGTAATCTCTTTAATGGAGAAATCTGAGAGGTAAATGCTCTCCGAACCCAGAATTATAGAGTCTTGATCGTGTGGTCTCAGACAAGGCCAATATTTCCACAGGTCAGCACACTATCTTCACCATTACACAGGTTTCGCCAGAGTTTCAGCGGATCTGAATGGCTGGTTAGCCATTTCACAAACAGTCTCTTTGTTTGAATGAATGATGCAATAAATGTTCTCTAATGCACTTCATTAAAATTGTTTTAGGTCAGGTCTTCAGATTGAAGACTTAGAGGCATGGTATTTAAACTACTTTTAGTGCTTTTTTAGTCCTTTTTAGACTTTGATACTAAATATCACCATCAACTTTAACAGTATGAACAAGAACAACTGGCATCTCCTTGTATATTTCACAGAAGAATGATAATAATACAGGTTAGAGTGGTATGAGGATGAGCAAATTATAGTAAAATGTTAATTTCTAAGTGAACTATCCCATGAATAAACACACTGGCTACTTCAGTATGTGCCAAACCAGATGCACACACACTTAAACACACAGATCACGCAGAGAACAGTATCACATACGGAGGAAAGTGAGGTTAAGTTAAATCTATGTGACTGTCTAACCCAGTCTGACCTCTGACCTCTCGCTGCTCAGTGATTCCCACTGAATAAACAGGAATCTGTCTAATAGACTCTCTCACACAGTCCTGTGTGTGTGTGTGTGTGTGTGTGTGTGTGTGTG